AGCTCCTGCTACCAGGTCTAGTCATCGCACTATCCAACACCTGCTTCATTTTCTGACCGACTCCTGTGTCTGCCCCTAATGTCCAGTCTGTGCTTTACCCGACACCCAGTTGAGCAGAACTCTGTTTTCACTAATGCCCCATTTCGACCAAACCAATTCCAGTTCAAGATCCGTTCTTGTGCTTTTCTGGTGCTTAACTGGTTCTTCTCTGTAACACCACTTGAGCTTCCACCGCTCAGAGCCCGATTGGTGCTGCCGCTGCTGTGTCATGACGTCACCGTTTACGTCGCTGATTTTCTCCCCAACGCCGCTCACAACAACAACAACAATGGGGGACTGCGTCGGGTCGGTGATCGTGTTGCTTTTAATCATACAAAGCCATATTAAGAGAGCCGTGGTTTATTGTTTATGAATGTGGTTCAGCAGCATTTAGCGACTGCTGCAGTGCTAAGATAAGAAGTACNTTTCCAGAGAGAGTTATTTGTGAATAAAGTCCCTCCGGAGCGTGTGCAATCAAGCATGTTGTTTCTTACACGACCACGAGAGCACAACATACACTTTAAAACGTGTCTCTGGGTCGTAATAAGGGCTTGAACAATCGGCCTATGGTCGTTTTTTGTAGGAGGACAGGCTGGTTTGTTTTATACGCTTCTTGAAATCTGAGAAAATATAAATTGTTTTTCATAATAGATTACAAGTTGCCTGAAAAGTTCAAACAAGTGTGATGAATNGCGTGCCATAGAATCTGATAAAACTGGCCGTGAGTTAAAAGTAGACTAAACTCCGGTGGGTGAGCAGCATTGTATTGTCTTTTTATGCTGCTGCAACACTGTGTTGCAGCAGCATAAAAAGACAATACAATGCTGCTCACCCACCGGAGTTTAGTCTACTTTTAACTCACGGCCAGTTTTATCAGATTCTATGGCACGCTATGCATGGGGCAGCCAGTTGTTTCTTACACGACCACTAGAGGTGCTCTAGTTGTCATGTAAGAAACAACATGATTGATTGCAAACGTTCCGGAGGGACGTTTATTCACAAATAACCCTCTCTGGAAAATCCTAAATTGTGGAAAAGTTTGGCCATTAAAATGCTGTTTTATTCGATTTCTAGCGAGAAGTGTATGTTGTACTCTTAGAATCCACGTCCAGTCGATGTGTAGGATCTATAGTTTGATAGATATTACGAAGATGATTTGAGGTCTCGCCAGGATAACGTGTTTATGTGGCAGCTTCCATGTAAAGTTAGCATCAACCCTCACGGGGTGAAAACTGTTTTTCCGGTCTCGAAGTTTTCATAATAAAACCGGATGTATTCCCCTCACTGTCAAATGATTACACAGTGATATCTGCATTACTCATCCACTAAAAAACATCAGTTTATCCTTGTTAATTACACAATATTGATTGGTTTCTATTGTGTACAATGCTTTTGTGTTTTTAACCTTCGATTCAGAGAAACAAATAGTTTTCTAGGAGTTTGGACACTACAGCTTCCGAAGTCACTACTCTACCCAGAATCCCCAGCTATCGTTTGGGACTACAGCATCCGCCTTGCTTTACAAACCCCGTGATTAGTCCTCAAGCCCTGTGATTGGATGTTGGAGTGGCAGTGCGACAAGGTTACGCCGAGCGTCAACAGCTCTTTGAAATGGAATGGAACCACGGCAGACTTTCCAAAACTGGAATTGGACGGGTCCAGCACCCGGGTATCTTCTTGATATTTTCTATTCTATATTTCTATCATGCCTTCTACTTTCCCCCAATTTTGTATGTAGGCTACTTTTAATATTTAAATGTTTTCATCAACTAAAACGTGTTCAACAACAAAATTCAATAACGTGCTTTAACCACTAGGCGGTGCGGGTTAAAAAACCAGTGGTTTAGTTAATAAAACATAATAATATCAAACATAATATGACTATTAACTTTATTGTGAAATTAAAACAGAACGGTAAAGGAAAATACAGTTTCAGTCTCTCGATTTGAAGCTTATGCATTGTACCATGAACCTGTATAGACCTGTAACAGTCAACTGCATGAGGAGTTGGAAAGGTAGTTCAGTAAATAATATCTTTAAAAACTACAAAAAATCCCTTTCTATCAGCTGTGCACCGTTATGGTGTAAATATAACTTATCTACCAATTGGATCAAATATAAAAGTCAGCCGAATTAGTGTTGATACTGCAAGGAGACGTATTGTGTGAATATAAATGGAAGATGTTGTTTAATTGCTAATATATTTATGATCCACGTCACGTATTCAGTTTTGGCGGCATTTCTTACAGTTTGTCAAAAGGTCTTCTGATCAGGGCTCTATAAATAAATATCTACCGCAGATATGTAATATTTAATGCAGCCGAACCGTGTATTACAATGACGTTATGTGATGACTTCCAAAGAGCAAGATCAAGAAGAGCAAGAACACTCGAAATAAAGTATTTTTTTTTTTTTTTAAATGTTTTTCCGATTTCATATCGCATAAACACCATATCCCGGCATGCATTGCGGCTAAAACAATCGATGTTCTAGCCTATCAAAACCTCTGAAAAAAGAAAGGTGTCTCTCAGAATCGAAAGAGAAAAATCTATGGGAAAAACACAAAAGCATTGTACACAATTTAAACCAATAAATGTTGTATAATTAACAAGGATAAAATGATGTTTTTTAGTTGATAGGTACTGATATCACTGTTAAATCATTTGATCATTGGTTTTATTATGAAAACGTCGAGACCGGAAATACTGTTTTCAACCCGTAACTTTACATGGAGGCTGCCGCATACCTCAAATCATCTTCGTAATATCTATCAAACTATAGATCCTACATATCGACTGGACGTGGATTCTAAAAGTACAATATACACTTCTCGCTACAAAATCTAATCAAAAAGCGTTTTAATGGCCAAACTATCCTACAATCAAGGATTTTACAGAGAGGGTTATTTGTGAATAAACGACCATCTGTAACGTTAGCATTCAACGGGAGCACTAGAGGACGAAAACTTTAAAACGTAATTATAGGTCGTATTAAGCGCTTGAACAAACGACACATTTGGTCGTAATAAGGGCCTGAACAATCGGCCTATCTGGTCGTACGAGTTGGAGGACTAGTATGATTGCTGCTCGAGTTGACTGCTTGAAGCTCACAGGCTTCACCCCATTTCTTACAAAGGAGAGATTACAAAGGTTTATTTCAAGTTTTTAGAAAATTAACATCCCTCACTTAGTCCATGATAAGAATCATTCAGAGGACGGGCTGCTGGGGGAAAAGGAATATTTATCTCAAAGATTCTAGATATGTGCTCAAAACTTACAATTAAAAATAAATAAATAACTTAAATAAAAACACAGACAATTTAAATGTGTTTCAAACTATCTGTACAGTAAGTTACATTTTTGACAGACAAAGAATTAAAGATAAATTATGCAAAGAGAACTATGTGGATGAAGTTATCCCGTTGGAAGCATGAACATATAGCAAAAACTGAATCTAAAGCATTTGATTGAGACAATTTTCGACATTTAAGGCTCTTAGGGGTTAAGTAAAGCTAAGAATCCAATTTGAAATCAATGTGCTTTTGGTCCTTTCAGTCCAGAGACCGGAAGATGGTTGGAGATATGGAAGGAGCCCGACACTACGGCTCCACCGCTCACTGCCTCAACATCTGGGCCACAGTCCTGGTTTCCATCATGATCCTTATTTTCATTATTGCATCCACCACTGTACTTGTACTGGCAAAGCAGGCCGCCCAATCATACAGTGGCTTCAATTACAATTCTAGAGGTTAAATTGTGTGAGAGTTTTCTGCAGCAGTGGCTTGGTGATACTTCTCTTTATTTGCTTTGCGGTTATGGCTCCTGCTTTGAACTTTTTACTTATTTTACAAAAGTCTTAACTGGAACTCCTGCATGTTTCCATACTGACAATTCTTAGTAAAGTTTGACATTCTTGCAAGACGTTGTTAATAAACGAAATACTCTGTCTGCAACAGTTTCATTTTGTGCTAAACTGTAAAATATGTTTTTTCTCAAAATAAAGAACCCCACCCAAAGAAGAAAAGGGAACAGAGTACTATTTCCTTATTGTACTATTTTTTGTGTACTATTGAAATGTTATTGTCTGTAACTGTTTCTACTGTAACTGTCCTGCTATCTCAGCTAAAAAAACTCTTATTTAAATCAGACTTTTCCAGGTTTATTGAAACAATACTTGACCCAGTGTTATAGACAGCGCCAAAACACAATAGATTTTCCTTCTTCTGTATGAACATGAAAAGATCAAATGTATGTGTGTATACAAGAAAAAGAGTACTGGCATACCAAAGACCACTGCACGAGATGTAGGTAACAGTATTTAATACAAGATGGTAATGCATGTAATGCTCAGCACTCCATGCATTGTATTAACACTGCGTGAAGTGCTCAGAGTAACTGTGTATGGGAAATATGTTTTTGCAGGGCTGCCAACTCTAACACATTGACCGTCAGACTCAACAATTTAAAGATATTTAGTACATTTCATTAAAGGGTAAGTGAGCTCTAATGCCAAAAACGCAGCCATTCTACCTCTGAACCTGATTTCCTAGCCTTTGCCC